TGGATGAGCTTTAAGCTCCCTTCCAACCCAAACCAGTCTGGGATTCTATGAGTCTGTTGTCAGGCTGTTTTGGCACACTCTGCTTGGACAAGTGCTGTCTTTTCAGTTCCAGCCCTGCCCCATCCTGTTCCTGGTCTGTTCTTGCAGAGATGCTGTGACTGTCTGCGATCACAACGCGTTTGTTAGTGAAGCTTTGGAGCTCCCTGACTTCCAGACTCAAGTGAAGGAGTGCAAAGAGAGCCTGGCTGCTGTTCCTGGTGAGCATCAGCAACTTGTCTTGGATCAGTGCAATGGGAAGTAGATGGTGACCCACTGCCTTAGAGCCCAAACAAAGCTGTGAACATAGAGTTTTCCTGCAGCCTGAGAGGTGCTTTTAAGTCCTCCTGGAGCTGTGCAGATGGAGTTGCCTTGCTTCAGTTGGATTTATACCATCTTGTGCTCTGGTTTTCTGAAGCTGCTGGGTTTGGGAGTGGAGCACTGCTGGGGGCAGAGACAAAGCACCCACGAGTTCTTGCTCCAAGCTGATCAGAGCCCTGCTCATGTTCGGTGCTGTCATAACAGCCACAGTGTGAGTCCTTATGGCTGGGAGAAGCCTTGCCCTAGATCCAGCTCTCTGTGGGGTGCTCTCCTCTGGATTCTTGTTGTGCTGTTGGCAGTGAGGCACAGCACCACTCACTGTCTGCATCCTGATGCTGGGCAGCGTCAGGGCACTGCAGAACGGGAGGAATCAGGTCCCTCTTGAGCTGCCAGCTCTGTCATTGAGCAAGGTCCTTGTCTGCCCACCTTTGGATATGTGGTTGTGCACTGTGATGTGTTTTCTGTCTTCCCTTGTGCACCTTGCTGCTGTAGGAAAGCCAGAGCCTGAGGGAAGCAAAACTGAACACACTGGACATGAAGACCGTGTAGATACCAGGCTGTTGAACTAAATGGTATCTGACTGGGCAAGATGTGGATAAAATTGACTTGACAAATCCTTGTTGTCTGTTTTCTCCAGGAAATGTGGGTGCTTATCCTGAAATTGTGTTCTTGGGAACAGGATCTGCAATTCCAATGAAGATCCGAAATGTCAGTTCCACGCTGGTAAATACCAGGTAAATTCCTGTGCACGCATGCTGCTGGGAGAGGCTTAGTGTCTCAAAGGGCTGTTTTGATGGCATGGGGAGAGTGCCCCTCTTGTGGAGCCTGTAGGAATTCAGTGTCAGGCCCCTGTGTCTCTGTAGGTGGGGAAGACTTGAGAGGCACCTGTAAAGCCAAACATGAATGTCTTCATTTTACCATCTGCCCCCAGGGTGTGTTCAGCACCAACACTAGAGCACAATGAGCTGTGCAGGCAGGTCTTTCTAAACCCTTGGCTAGTAGGGCTTGGAGTAGCATTTAGAGGTGTAGAGCACTGAGAGCTCTCTCCCTTAGAATCATGGAATCACAGAATGGTTTGAGTTGGACCTTAAAGCTCATCCAGCTCCAGCCCCCTGCCATGGGCAGGGACACCTTCCGCTAGAGCAGGTTGCTCCAAGCCTCTGTGTCCAACCTGGCCTTGAACACTGCCAGGGATGGGACAGCCACAGCTTCTCTGGGCACCCTGTGCCAGCGCCTCAGCATCCTCACAAGGAAGAGCTTCTGCCTTAGATCTAACCTGAACTTCCCCTGTTTCAGTTTGAACCCATTACCCCTTGTCCTGTCCCTACAGTCCCTGATGAAGAGTCTTTCTCCAGCACCAAATCCAACAGATCCCCCTCCCTCAGTGGACCCTTGGCTCATGCAGTGCCTGCTCAGTGTCGTCTCTTGTCTTGTCTTGTCAGCTCTACCCACTCTCTTCTCTTGGACTGTGGAGAAGGAACCTTTGGACAGCTCTGTCGCCACTATGGAGAGCAAGTTGACCAAGTGCTGTGTAACATAGCAGCTGTGTTTGTGTCTCACATGCACACTGACCACCATTCGGTAGGTGGGGGGTGTTGGAAGGAGAAGGGCTCCTGTCCAGGCCTGCTCTGCTCCTTGGGATTTGGGGGTAGCTGATGACTACAGGTTGCCTGTATTCATCCCCTCTGCATTCCCAACGTACTACTGAATCTCTCTGTGTTTCTTATCCCTTCTCCCTTCCAGTTAGGGCTCCCTGCAGACTTGCTGGGACCGTCTGGAGTTGGAACGTTTTAGCAGTGTCCAGCCCAGCTTGCTTCAGTGCTCTGCATTCAGTACTCACAGGAGGACGAGTTGCTCTGTTGTAGGTTGGCCTGAGCAGGGCAGGCCCTTTGCTGGTGCCTGGAAACCATGGCATCACCGGGAAGGGCTGAGGAGCTGCTGGTCACCAGCCTGGGGTGGGAGCAGTGATGCTGTCCTGCAGCTCAGCAGGCTGCCGTCACTGCAGAGGAGCTGTCATGTATTTCTGACTATAGACCTTCCAGCCTCTGCAGCTGAGCTGTGGTAATGCTGTTGTTACTTACACCCTGGCCATTCATGACTGCAGCTTTGCTGTCTTGTTCACTCCCTTTGCAGGGGCTGTTGCACATCCTGATGGAGAGGAGGAAGGCTTTTGTAAGTAGTGTTGCTGTTTCGCTGCTCCTGACCTTGCCTTGGGGTGAGGGGAGGGAACTTCTGAGCAGGGAAAAAGCACCATCATTTCCCTTGGTATTTCTTCTCTGATTTGGTGTATATCTGGTATTGAGCTTAATTTTTCCCCCTGCTTTTGCTTTTCCAGGCAGCCCTTGGTCAGGCTTTCAGCCCCCTGTTTTTGGTAGCACCTGAACAGATCATGCCATGGCTACACGAGTACCACAACCACTGTGAAGAGATTCTTGGAGACATCAAGTGAGTGTTCTGTGTGATATGTGGAGAAATGTCCTTGCTGGGTCCTTACTCAAGGCAAACTGCTGTCATCCATTCCCCAACCCCTTTATTGAAGGTGGCTCTGACTCATTGCATGTAGAATTAGGATGTCCAGTTTGCAAAGGGGAGGGACAGGGTTTGTTACTCACTTGTGCTACTTCATAGAGGCTTAAATGCTGCTTCCCCTTAGGAAAGGAGAGTTGGGCAAGTGAAAAAAGATTCCTGGAAAGGAGTATTTGCCAGTGAGGAGGAAGTGGTTGGATGAATTCGTGGGCCACTGGGTAGTGCAAGCCTGGGGAAAACTAGACTGGTGCACAAGCATGTCTCATTTGTAAGGCTAAGAACTGAGGAGGAGAAATTGTCTGCTTAGAGACAAGATGAGGTTTTCCTCTGTACCTGTCCTTAGTTCTGTCTTCTCCCCTCCCTCACAGGATGATCCCATCCCAGTCTCTTGTGAAAGGCTGTGAGAACATCAAACCTCATCAGAAATGGTTTGTCAGCTCTCTTTTAGGGAACTACGACTTGGCTGAGGTAAGCTCCTGAGCTGGCAGGGGCAGTTGCTGTGAGGGGCTGGGAGGACCCGAGCTCTAACACTTGTATCCTTGTTCAGTTTCAGACTTGTGAAGTCCAGCACTGTAAAAATGCTTTTGCATGTGCAATGATCCACAAATCTGGCTGGAAAGTAGTTTATTCTGGGGACACAATGCCCTGCATGGCCTTAGTAAAAATGGGTAGGTGACAAACACCCTCTGCTTAAAGGTCTTGGAGAAAGGTCTTGAACTGTTGGTATCCAAAATGGGAACCCCCAGACCCTTGGTGCTGTGCCTGCAACACACCAGGGGCCTAAGAGGGGGAAATGAGAGTTCATGCAGGCACTTGAACCAGCCTGTATTCACCTGAAGAGCGCATATCTGCTTTTTCACCCAGGTAAGAACGCTACCCTGCTGATCCATGAAGCAACACTGGAAGATGGCATGGAGAAAGAAGCTATAGAGAAGACACACAGGTGGGAAGTGTTCTGCTGCCTCTCACTTATGAGGAAGGCAAAGGTGCTGAGTTGGGTTTTGTCCTTGGAGCTGGTAGTGGTTCTGTAGATGGTTCTGGTGTGTGTGGAGCTCTTCAGTACTAAAATGATGTGTTGCTCATTGCAGCAGCTCGAAACCCTCACAGCTCCTCTGAAAATCCCCAGAGAGGAGTAGATGGTGGTAACTCTACAAATAGACTAGCCCAAGGGTAAGGCCCTCTGCCTGGTTGTATGTAGGACTAAACTCGGGAGGTAGAAGATTATTAGGCAGAAGTTGTTCCCTGTGAGGGTGCTGAGGTGCTGGCACAGGGTGCCCAGAGAAGCTGTGGCTGCCCCATCCCTGGCTGTGTTCAAGGCCAGGTTGGACACAGGGGCTTGGAGCAACCTGCTCTAGTGGAAGGTGTCCCTGCCTGTGGCAGGGGTTGGAGCTGGAGGAGCTTTAAGCTCCCTTCCAACCCAAACCAGTCTGGGATTCTATGAAGAACCATGTTGTCCCTGCACCCACCGAAACACAGTTGGAGCTCAGTGCTGCGATACCAAGTGCTGCCCCAGCAAAAGTGGGAAGACCTGAGAGCACCTTCTTGGAATTGCATGTGAGCTGCTGTGCAGGAGCTGGACTTGCTGGGACAAGTATTTGAATAAGCCCTTCTCCCCAGTTTGTGGAGCTCTTCAATGCAGAGATCCAAGTAATCACAGCTACTTTCATGCACTTGGAGACGTTTGGAGGTCAGACTTGCCACCAGCACGGGTTGCCAGAGGAGGAGGTGTCTGTGCCTGCAGAGAGCAGGGACACCTCGTGCTCTGCCAGTGTCAGCAGGACCTAGCGGTGGTGTGTGTGACCTGCCCCGGAGCAGCAGCACCAGCCAGGCTGTGCATGATGGGGACATGGTGCCCTCTTCTTGTTCCTTTGCAGCACAACCTCGCAGGCGATTCAGACTGGGATGAAGATGGATGCAGAGTTCATCATGCTCAACCACTTCAGCCAGAGGTATGCCAAGATCCCGCTCTTCAGTGAAGACTTCAGTGAGAAGGTTGGAATTGCATTCGATCACATGAGGGTAAGTTGGGAGCTTGGAGCCAGCCTATGGGAAAGGTTTCAGTGTTACTTTGGGAATGGCTGCTCATGAGTTGAGTTCTCCACTTGTATCAATACACCATCTCCTTCTGAGGAGTCTCCTCTGAAACAGCTCCTTTTGCTGCTGGCAGCAGATGTCCCCAGTGTGTGGGAGGGGTGGGGATGGGTGCTGAGGGCTCTTGAGAGTGCTGCTCAGGGATGGGATGGACATCATATGCTCCTGGCCAGCTCCCCAAAGTTTATATGGTGCTCTGAGGTATGGAATACCTTTTTGGCGAGTTTTGTCCTGTCTCTGCTCCCTCACGGCTTCTTGTGCCCCTCTTCATGGCAGAGCATGAGAGACTGAAAAGTCCTTGATCAGGTGAATGCTATTGAGCAACAATTAAAACTCTAAACCCAAAACTGTATCCCAGGGCAGTATCCACCCCTTATTCCACACCATTTATGTCATGCCCAGATCCCACGCTTCCCGGTCAGTTTCCTGCCTTGTGACCTGTCTGCTCAGACATCATTCCCTTGGCTATGGACAATCCCCATAGGGACTCTGGAGTTCATTCAGTCCTTGACGTTGGGCTCCATCTGTCCTAACAGCCTCTCGGGGCAGGACAGGAGGGGTGTGATGTTGGACTGTTGCATGCTGAAGCCAGGCTCCATCAGTGCTGTGCTCATCCAGTTACATCAAAGTTCATTCTTTGTTAATGCAGTGATGGGCCGTGGAAGTGATAATGAACAGTGTTATCCCAGAATCACAAATCCTTTGGCTTGAAGAGCCCTCTGGAGATCATCCAGTCCAACCCCCTGCCAAGGCAGGGCCATGCAGAGCAGGGCACACAGGAATGTGTCCAGGCAGGTTTGGGATGTCTCCAGAGATGGAGACTCCACAACCCCCCTGGGCAGCCTGTCCCAGTGCTCTGACACCCTCAGTGGAAAGAGGTTCTTCCTCATGTTGAGGTGAAATTTGTTGTGTTTTAATTTATGGCCATTGCTCATTGTCCTGATGCAGTTAACATCATCTGATCTAATTCATTGGCTCTTCTCACCCCAAATCAAATCCCCTTGAGGTTTACACCAACTTCCCCATCCTCTGACTTCACCCACCAGGTGAAGTCCTCAGTGTGAACTGTTTTCAAATGATTGTATATTCCTCAAAGGGAACAGGGGAAAGGAGCCATTTCCTACATCCTGTCAGCCTTTCATAGTGACCTGCCCCATGCAGGTGTTGGTAGATACACAGTATGTTGTTGTTCATGTGTGAAATTAGACATTTTTGAGGTGTATTTTCATTTCTTTGCAAAACAAAGGGCTCTTTCACATTTCACATCACTCCATTTCCACTCTGGAAACAGGAATTGCACAGTACTTCTCATGTGAAATTCAGTTTGGTAAGAACTGAATGTAGGGGTTTTAACCAATGAAATGATTGACTTTTGTCCTGTTCAAGTTCAGATAAAGCTACTTCATTACATCTGCAAATTTCCACATTTTAGAAGTTGCCTGTAAGTTGAATCGGATTTTATTCCCATGTGTAGTGCTCAAATGCTCCTTTGGGCTTCATGTAACTTGAGTAGAAATCAGATTATAAATGAGCCATTAAGTGATGTGAAGAACTGCTCTGAGTTTGCCCAGAGCTACACTGACCTGTTGCTCTTCCTGCTGCCTTTGGCTCTTTGTGTTGACTTACTCTGTACGTTCGTTTAGAAAGATGAAATTCTTTAGCACAAGTCCTTTGAAAAAGAATCAAATGATCTTGTCAGAGGTATAGTCAAGATCTTGAAGCTTAAGCACCATCAGTAGAACTTAATCTGACCAGTTTCTCCATAACACTTGTGATGTCCTCCACCAACCCCTCGGGCTCTGCAGTGAGTGTAGCTCTTGTGGGTTTCTAACAGTGGCCACCGTGTTCTCCCTTCTCAGTTGGTGCTGCTCTGGTGGCTCTTGCAGAAGACACTGAGGAGCCCAACACTGCGGGTGGTGGATTAAATGCAGCCATAACAGTGGGAATAGTCACTGATGGAGCAAAACTTGGACAGCACCCACGTCTTTTCGGAAGGGAATGAGAGGAAGGCAAACAAAGCTCAGTTCTCATGCAGGTGCTCCTGTGCTTTGTTGCAGGTACGCCTCGGTGACTTCAAGACCATCCCGAAGCTGATCCCACCTCTGAAGGCTTTGTTTGCAGATGACATAGTAGAAATGGAGGAGAGAAAGGAGAAACGGGAGCTGCGGCTCCTGAAGGAGACTGCTCTAATCCTGGAGAAGCTGAGTGCTGGGCAGAACAAGGAAGCACTGTGCCAGAAACGGAAACAAGTCAAGAACCATCAGGAACTTCCAAACAAGAAGCTGAAAGGTGTAAACTGAAGGAGACAGGGGCTGGCGATGCTCTGCAGGGAGAGGCCTTGCTCTGCAGGGCTTGGAGGGTGCAGCACTGTGGGAGCCATGGAAAGGGCTGGCCTCAGTGTCTGGCTTTGCTTGGTCATGAGTGATCTCCATGGGCTGAACCTGCTGAGCACGCCCTGAGCAGTACGAGGCCTGGTGGTGACAGCATCTGCCCCTCCAGCTCCTGGTCTGAGTCTCACCAGTCCCTCTGTCATTTTCCTTTTAGCCAGAAGTTGTTCTCTCTCAACTGTTTTAATTTGGGTTTTATGCTATGGGCTATCAGTGATGCAAGGGCAGCAGCTAGCCCTGTGCAGATCAGCTTGGAAAAGCCCTGGAGTGGCCCTGGTTCCACTGGAGCGAGGTGGGCAGCTCTCAGGGTTGTGAGGAATGTAACCAGGTATCGGCACCCAGAGGTGTTGGTATCAACATAGGAGGAAATGTCACAGTAAAATGGGGCATTTAGGTTAAAGTAGGGATGCGAATGCTGCTGTGTTCCCATTTTACTGTGGTTTTTTTAGTTGCTTTTTCCTCATAAGATCAGTTTTCCAAACCCTTTATTTAGACTGAATAAACCACTGGACATCACAGGTGGCTGGGTTCTGTCTGGATCACTGATGAGGACTTGGCAGTCCAGAACCCTCCATGTGCTGGGCTGAACCCAGAGCGTGAGCAGCAGGTCAGGGAGGGGATTCTCCCTCTCTGCTGCGCTCTGGGCAGACCCCCCCTTGCAGTCCTGATCCAGCTCTGGGGAAACAGCACGAGAGGGACGTGGAGCTGCTGGAGAGAGGACAGAGGAGGCCCTGGAGCTGCTGCGAGGGCTGGAGCAGCTCTGCTCTGGAGTTAGGCTGAGAGAGCTGGGCTGGATCAGCTGGAGAAGAGAAGGCTCCTGAAGGGGACACCTTAGAGCAGCTCCAGTGCCTAAAGGGGCTCCAGGAAACCTGGAGAGGGGCTTTGGACAAGGGCCTGTAGGGACAGGCCAAGGGGAATGGCTTGAACCTGCCAGAGGGGGGATTGAGATGAGGTCTGAGGCCGCAGCTCTTCCCTGTGAGGGTGCTGAGGCGCTGGCACAGGGTGCCCAGAGAAGCTGTGGCTGCCCCATCCCTGGCAGTGTTGAAGGCCAGGTTGGACACAGGGGCTTGGAGCAACCTGCTCTAGTGGAAGGTGTCCCTGCCCGTGGCAGGGATTGGAACTGGATGAGCTTTAAGGTCCCTTCCCCACAAACCAGTCTGTGATTCTATGTCAAGAAGTGAGCCGATTCATACCCATGCAATAGCAAGAGCTTACTTAGCCTTATCCCAGTCCCTGCAGGCTGGTTGTAGTCCCCAGCTCTGTTGATCATCCACTTTCTGCTCCAGCCAAGCACAGTATTAAAGCACAGTCAATCAACAGAAGGTGCTTTGCTGCCAGTTGGCCTCTTATGTTTCCATCCCCTTAAAATGAAGTCTTAAATCTTTAATATGTGCTGGTATTGTTTGCTGAGCCAGCTCTGAAAAAAAACCCAACTGCAACAGCACAAAGCTCCCTTTCCTACTCCCAGACACAAGCAGGTACAACACTGGTGAGGACGAAGTAAAGCTGCCCCCCAGAAAGCCTCCATCACACTCATCTTCACCCCAGACATACCCCCATCTGCCCACTGTGCCAGCTCATATCCCCTGCACCCAGGATGGGAATCTGTTCAAGGAAACTGCTCTGGAGGTGTTCAAAAGCCACCTCAGATGTTACCAGCTTGAACAGCTGGAGCTGTGAATATCCACACGGTAACTGAGGCAGGTAGGACGTTCCTGGCAGGAAACAACCAGTGCAGGCATGAGGGTCCAGCAGCTCGTGGTCCTTACACCAGTGCTGGAAGGGCACAAACAGCCCAGGTCAGTCCCCAGAGCAATTCAGGTATTTGCTTTCCCTCGCTAAGCCGTAGAATCCCAGACCGGTTTGGGCTGAAGGGAGCTTAAATTTCATCCAGCTC